GTGTGTGTGTGTGTGTATGTGTGTATTAAAATGCAATATAAACGCGTAAGGTTCTTATAAGAATCAGCAGCCAGACTGTAGGATCTGACAGACCCAGCCTCGGGTAAAATCATCCATGTATGTGGGGCATGAGCTCCTGGACTCGTGTGCACACCGCCCTGTTATCATCAACCATTCTCTTCTTGCTGACTCTTTTTTATTAGTGTTGCAGCTTTCTGTTTTACGCCATTACTCCAACCAAGCATGCTTGGAGTGTTGCATTCAGGAAGATGCACACAGCTGGGGTTATTACGTATGTGTGTGTGTAATTATAATGTCTACGTACACGTGGAGCAGGAAGGGAATTTTGGCCGTCTGCCATTTGCTAGACACATATAGACACAGTGCAGACGCCCTCTTACTTAATCCTCTCACCTGCTCTTAGAGGGTCTATAGATGTGGGACTGAGGTTCAGGGAGAGGAAGTCACTCCCGCAAAGTCACACAGCCAGTGTGTGACAGCGTGCCCATCTGGGCTCAGTTCTATTTGAGCTTTCTGCACTGTGCCATAGAACTATTTAGACAGCCGGCAATAAACTGGCAAGTGACACTTTCTGCTTACTTTTCAGTCTTGGCATTTGTTTGCTTGTAACCTCCCTTCTCCCCAGAACGGAACTTGAGGCAGCTCACGTCTCTGATTGCTACATGCGTACAAAATAGGAAAGGCTTGTTTTTAAAAAGAAAATCAACAAGTCACAAGTGAGGCATTTGAATGAATATAATCAGCTTCTCCAGTTCCTCCGTGTGGCTAACTCTTACCAAGTTTTAGAGTTGATCTTTAAAATGAAACATATTCTATAAATACTTGATAACCAGGCTATGAGTTTCCCCACTCCCCAAATAATAATAATTACCATCTATGGAGTCCTAGCTTTGTGCCCAGTTCTGTGCTAAGCCGTTTATAGTCATTATCTCATTTGATACTCAGATTAGCCCTGTAAGAGATGAGTTATGATCCCTGTCTTCCAGATGAAGAAACTGAGGCTTGGAGAGGTGAAGGCACTTACCTGTGGTCCGGGTGTCAGGTTCTAATGTGGACCTTCTCTGTTGACAATGGGAGGATGCTCAGATGTGCTGTGCCATCATCCCCACCCCCACTCACCTGGCGTACCAAATTTTTGAAGAAAAATGGCAGCTGCTGTGGACGCAGGGTCCTATCTCCTGAAAGGAGGCTCCTGGGTCTAGGGCCTCCTGTCCTCAGCTGGGACTGAAGTGCAGGGTCAAAGTCTGGAGTTACGGACAGGGCACAGCGAGGGGTGGGGCTGGCCCCAGGCCAGGCTGGGAGACCTCACCTCCCCTCGCTCCAGTCTCTGAAAAGTTGCCTGACTTTTCTGGCTGATTCCAAGTCCCTGCGGACAGGCCTCGGGGGAGGAAGGGAGGGACTGAGGGAGGGAGGATGGGTGTTCTTGGAGGGCTAATGGGCACAAGGAGGTCTGTCTCCTGGGCCAGCTGGAGAGGATTCTCTTTCTTTCCTCGTCCTGCTGCCACCCTGGGGGAGGGGAGGGTGGCTCCCTGAGCTACTGTGAGTCTGGCCGGCAGGGTGGGGGTGGACAGCCTGGAAACCTCTGAGGGGAGGCCAGAGGTATAGGACAAGGGGCTCCTGGGGTCAGCCAGGCAGACTAATGCCATTCTGGGATGTTGAGTGGATGAGGCCAAGGAGAGACGCAAGGCAATGCTTGTCTAGACCATAAGGATGTGTGGCTCTTTGCTCCTGTATCCCAGAGACACAAATGGCTGGATGCCAGATCCTTCCTCTGCTAGATTAGACCTGGAGCTACGATATTAGAGCCCAGAGACCACCAGGAGCCTCACCATGTGGATGGGGAGACTGTGGCTCAGAGAGAGGAACCAACCAGCCCTGGGTGAGGCATCTTTTGGGTCAGCCTCTAACCCCCTACTTTTGACATCATTAAATAAAAACATGCAGATGACATAAGAAAATACATGCAGAACACTTAGTGCATAGTATTTTTCCTTAGTCATTAAAAAAAAAAGATGGGATGAACTCCACCTTTTACTTATATGCTTCCATTTCATTTGAATTTTTTTTTGCAATAGTCACATGTCATTTTTATATCCCATAACCTTAGGGAAATTCCTTATGCCTCTTATTCATCACGGAACACTTAAAACTTAACAAAAGTTAGCCAGATATCTTCACATTCCCCGCATTCTCTTTATAGCAATGATTTCTGTATCCACTAAAGGTAAACATGTCAATTCTAAAACCTAGGAGCCCTTCTTTTACGTACATACCCATTAGGAATGAAGATATACATCAACCAAATGGCTTGTACAAGCATATTCCATAGCCCCAAACTGGAAACAACCTAAACGTCCATCAGCTAGAGAAACAAATTGTGATGTTTTCAAACAATTCACACCATAGAATATTATAGAGCAATGAAAAAGGAAATATTGTCACCCACAATAACTGGGTGAATCTCACAGTCATTGTGTTGAGTGGAAGGAGACAGACAGGGGGAGCCCAGACTGTATGCTTCCAATATAGGAAATCCAAGAAAAAGTCAAGCTAATTGATAGTGAAAGAAGTTATAGGAAGAATGATTACCTCTGGGGCACAAGGAGATTTTCTGGGATGCTGGAAACTTGCTCCTTCCTCTGGGTGATGGTTACAGGAGCGTATGCCTAGGTGAAAAGTCATCAAGCTGCCCTTTTAGGACTAAGATTAATGTACTTGACACAGTTAGAAAGACTGGTCGGGGAGAGGGAGAAAGAATGAAAGAAAGAAGGAGGGAAGGAAGGGGGCAAGGAGGGAGGAAGTAAAGAGAGAGAAAGAGAAAGAGAAAAAGAGAGAACCTGCCATAGTAACACAGCCTACAAGCTGAGGTCCAAATCTAAACCCAGGTGAGGGTTCCCAGATCTAGCAAATAAAAATACAGGATACCCAGGGGAGGGTACAGTTCAGTGGTAGAGTGTGTGCTTAGCATGCACGAGGTCCTGGGTTCAATCCCCAGTACCTCAGTCGAAATGAATAAATAAATAAACCTAATTACCTTCCCCCAAAAACTAAAATAAAAAATAAATTAAAAATTTAAAAACATACAGGATACCCTGTGTTATATCTGGTGAGCCTTACCCGGGCAGTCTGTGTCCAGAGCTGGAACCCTCAGCCACCACCACCCTGGAGAGCTTTACTGAGAGCTGAGAAGGACCCCATGCACCCAACACCACAGGGCCAGAGGTGGGCCAGGGCTTCAGAGAGTCCTGTGCTGGGTGTAAAAAGAAAACTTAGTGCAGTATTTAACTTTAGAAAATGACATGGGAGCGGGGTGACACCTATTGTTTCCATGATACAAACTACAGGAAGTCAAGTTCCATAGAATATTCTTGGCTTTTGGAATAAGTAGAAGATATCCCCCAGAAAGGGTGTGAGATTTTTATCTTAACCAGAGGGAGTATGTGTTTTGTTTTGGGGGGTGGAAGGAAAAGTGTTAAGAAACCCTGACCTGGTTGAATCTGCCCATTTTACAGTTGGGTAAACTGAGGCCCAAAGAGAGGACAGGATGTGCTCTTAGTCCCGCAGGGGTATGGGGCTTATTTAGTCTCTTGATCCTAAGGACATTGAGAAACTACTCTGAAGTCCAAAGTTCACTGATCATAATAATGGGAGGCTGCAGAAGGCCTCCAAAGGACCTTTGGAAGCAACTTCTGTTTATTTGGCCCGAGCTATTGGACCTGATGATTTTTCTGACCCACCGGCTGGTTGATAACAACGTGACCTAGCATCCCTGAAATACACTCGAGCCAGGGTGAAAGGACCATTGACTGGGAGAGTTCTCTGCAGGAGGCAGAACTCTGTAGGGGGCCAGGTGAAGTTAGAGAAGTTAAGAGAATAACCAGTTAACCCTCCCCCTACTCTTTCTCTCTTCAATTAAATTAGCTTCATTATAACTTTTCTAAGTACTAGCATCATTCTAACCTCTGTAAATTTATATAATACAGAAGGTAGGAAGGAGGAAGTAATAAACACCTGCCACCAATCCCACCACCAAGAAATAGGGGCCATTAACATTTTGGGTGAATATCCCCAAACATAACATAAACAGTGGGGAGGGAAATAGCTCAGTGCTAGAGCTGGGCATGCTTAGCATGCACAAGGTCCTGGGTTCAGTCCCCAGTACCTCTGTAAAAACAAAGCAAAACAAAACATTAACACATCCAGGTGATGTTATATGTGCTATTTTGATTCCTATTCTGTTTGTCACCAATATGGCACATCCTGAACACCTTTCTGTACAACTGTAGAACGGGGGGTCCATTTCACACAGGACCCCTTTGGAGGTGGGTGTAACAATTTTTAAAGTCAGTCCCTACGGTGACCATCCCTGTCACTTTTTTAATGGTACAAATATCCTAGATGCATTTTTTGGCGTATTTGTCTGTTTCCTTAGGTTCAACTCCTAAAAATGGAATCATGGTGCCGAAGAGTTTGTACATTTAAAATATTGATCCATTTTGCCAGACAGCCCTCCAGAAGGACTCTATCAGTTGACAAGTTTAAGGAGGTGCCAACTCCCCAGTGTCCACTCTGTACTTCCACCATCCTGAGATTGAGAGCCTCCTTAAATTTTGAAAACCTCCCTCACTTGCCCTACCCTAGCTCCAAGCCCTGTTAATAAAACTGAAAATCTCTTCACACATTGATTGACTTTGAGATTTATTTCTTTATAAAGTGCCTTTTCCCCCTTCTCATTTTCCTCTTGAAGTGTGTTGGCTACTTTTCTTATTAATTTGTAAGAACTCTATCTTTTGTTGCAAAGATTTCCCCCAATTTGTCTGTCATACAAAGGTTTTACAACTTTTTGGGAGTCAAATTTCTTTGCCTTTTTTTCCACTTTATGATTTTGGCATCCTTTCCCCTCTCTGCCCCCTATTATAAATTACTTACACAGATTTTCTAGAACTTTTGAGGGTTTTTTTTTTTACATTTAAATATCTGATTCATTTGGAATTAATTTGGGAGAATGGAAGAGGGTAGGGATACAGCTTGACCTACTAGCCAATGGCACCAAAACCGATAGTTGAATCACTTGCTTTTTCCCCCACTGATACCTTTATGCTTTTATCATTCACTAAACTTTGCTGTGTATTTGGGTTTATTCCTGGAATCTCCATTGTTTTCTGTCTGTGGCTTTCTAAACCAGTGCCCATTCTGTTATAATTTCTGCAGCTCTGTCACATGTTTTAATGTCTGGTAGAACAGATCACTTCTCTTTAACCCTTCTTTTTTTGGTGGTTAGTGATTAAGGCCAGGGACTCTGGAGTCAGGCAGGCAGACTCAGCTGGTACCCTAACCATGCTCTCTCTACCTATGCGGTCTCAGGCTGGTACTTAAGGAAACCAGGGAACAATCGGGAAGCCACATGGCAGGAGGTCCAAGAGTACACACTTTAGTGTCAAACATGCCTGAGGTCAACCCCAGCTCCACCCCTACGGTCCCCAGAATATCAGACAAGTCCCTTCTTGAAGTTTTATTTGTAGAATTTGGCATGGGGTAGGGACGCCACAAACATTTCCTTGCGAGTGGAAAAATTCAGTAACTAGAGACTTTGCCCTATTGTGGAATTAAGATGAAATCGTGATTGAAAAGGACAATGTATGTCCAATAAGCATGTCGGAAAACAAAATTCAACTGAGTAGAATTGTAAAGCTCTAACTGGCTTTAGTCAATGATCTATGAATTGGGTTGCATCCAGTCTAGCAGACAGAAAGGAGCTCCGAGGAGCTGTAAAAAGTGAAAGGCTTGTGTAGGCAGGAGGGAACGGAATAAGGACATTGTATTAGGCAAAAAAAAAAACAAAACCCAGATTGGATATTGCAAGGTTACGCTCCTTTAGGGGATGGCAGAGGTCTAGATAACCTAATGAAAGTTGATCAGGTGATTCCTGGGTAACTGGTTTAAGATTTCATCTCTGGGAAAAATAAAATCATAATTAAGGCTCGGTTTAGTGACATGGGGCTTAGCATAAGTGACTCCATTCAGGGTCTGTTGTCCTGTTTTTAATAATTATCATTTCATTCAGTTGTCTCTAATCAAGACCCCTCCCACCCAAAAACCTCAGGTGGGACTTTCCAAGGGGATTTCATTGAATTTAATTTAGAGTGATTGATAATTCTACTATAAAGAGTCTTCCCATGCAAAAACAAATTCTCTCCATCTCACCATTATATCTTCT